AAAATCTGCCGAGAAACCGGCATCTACGACATAATGCTTAACAGTATATCAAAGTGAACTCAGACAATATCGCCGACTTTTCGACGAAATCACAAACTCGTATAGATGACACAACAACGATAGCTGTAACTTAGATATTCATAGTTAGTCGACTTTAATCGAGCTACTCCCTGAACGGCGAAAAACAAAGATGTCCCGAAGGCTTGATCAATGTTATTGATTTCATTTTCTGTGATTATAATTAGTGACCTTTGTAAAAGTTCTAAATGGCAAACTAAAAAGAAGTTATAAATATATTTCAAGAATTAATATTCAAACTTTGCATCAGAAAACTTTTCTTTGAAAAAACGGATATCGATGCCAGTAGAGTGGACAACCAACCATTTAAAGATATTGATAGTGAACGCCTCCTGAAACGTTTTAAAACTCTGAATAAAATTCTGGCTGATTTTGGATTTCAATTTAAAAAAATGAAATCCAAAATTTCTGCTCTCTTGATAGCTACACACGAAGAGCAAATCAAATAGAAAGAAGAATGGCCGGTTTTCGCTAAAAGTGCGCAGCAATTTCGTGTTATAACGGTAGAATTGCGTCCACGCTAAGAATGAACTCACGTTCTAATCTGGAATTTTTCTTGAGAAAACATGTTTTAAAACAATTACTGCGCTATAATTGTAACTAGTGACCTAACATTGAAATTTTATTTATCTTGGTAACTTTTCTGTCAAACAACCGGTTTCTTTAGCATCCCTATCTTTTGATTTTGTGTTTGTTCCCCTAGACAACACATAAAAGCACCTATGGTAAACATATAAACATGAAGTACTATTCTGTGAGTGTCTGTTAAACAGCTAGGTCTAATATTGTAAACCTTAAGCTGAGAGTTTGGAAAATAAAATAAAGGTGGAAGATAATCTCGATTTTTTTTTTCAAACTATGCCATAGTTGATCACCCATGACCAGAGTTTTCTATTTGCTGGTTTCTTAGCAACAGAGGAGAGTGACGATTACGGCATTCCATTATATTCAAACAAAGCTGGTTTTCTGGAAATTTGGGCACGGATCCTTCCTCAAGTTTCTGTAAATATTTTTTGTCTGACTGAATAGATTAGAAATTTGCTTCGCTGTGGGAATTTTAAGCCACCTAGGCGTTAACCAGATCATAACTAGCTTCAAATCTTTTTTTATTTAATTTCAGATACCAGCACCTCGAGTAAGTTTAACAGCCCATGAAGTCAACAATAAGGTGACTTCTTAGTTTCTCTTTCAACTCACCGGGAAAATTAAGTAATTACCGTCCCAATTACCAGTTAAACTGAGATGTGAGAACGTGTTACGCATCTGCGAAAAGCAATTATCTGTTAATCAACAGAAATCCAACATCAAATCAGTTTGCACGCATCCAAGTAAATCATTTTCTTCGTTAAGCGAAGAAGGTTAAGCAAAGTAAAGCGGACGAAAATGGGATCGTTTAGTTCCAAGGCGCGTGCTATCCGCAATGGTAGCCGCAATTTTAGCGAGTTCCCCAAAGGTAAAATCAATGGTGGAGTTGAGGACGAAATTCTCTCAATAACCGATGAAAATGAAATAGAGGAGAATTCCACGATGCAAGAGCAAGCCGACGGAACGAATGGAGGTGGATCAAACTGCGCTGCCACACGTCACCAGCAACACACCGCACCAAGGATACGCCAGTCATTTTCATGGTTGGCATCGCCCCCAGTCGTTTTCAATGCCACTGCAAACTTTCAGAAAGAAAAAGGAAAATCGTTCATCGAGGGAGGAAGTAGGTCAAGTAACGTTATGGTTTACAGCAACGGAAAATATCTGAAATCCTGGCAGCACTCTGCCGAGCTCTCTCCCTCGGAAACGACCGAACGGAAGCCACAGCGCGATGCTGGTTTGTCCTCAACTTCGACGGCGGACGACAACGGTAATTTCGCTGCAACTGAAGAACGTGACAACAAAGGCAACAAAGAGCAGAACGGAAACCAGGTTCGTCCGGGACGGGGAAATGACAGTCATTTCTTATCATCAAGGGCAGGCTTCGGACTGCTCCCGCAGCAGCATTCATAAATTCAGCCATTTCTCCACCAACACCAAGTACCCCGCCACTGTGTAAGTTCTTTCCTAGAAAGATTTACGGATACTTTTTCAGTCTCCGTAGAAAAGTACGGGACTGCTTCAAGACCAACTGTTTTGTAACCAATTGTTGAAGATTACACTTTAAGTAGCCTGCGTATTAAAGGTTCTCGCAATTTATAGGGCACGCAAAAATTGAGGCGAGAGTATACAAAAATTGAGTCGAGAACATGTTATTAGTAAGAGCAGGAGGCACTGGAAATAAAACTCTAATTCTTCTAATTCGCTCGCTATGTCTACGTAGTCTACACTTTAAGAGCATTTTATGAATTTCATGTGCTTTTGAACTCCTCAGTTTGCGTATGACCTGTTTTTGTTTGTTTTTTTTCTCCTCCATTTACGACATTGTACAAGTAAATAGTTTACGAATGTATGACTGAAATGCGTATGTTTTATCGATGGCTTTCCACGGGTACAAACAACAGTTCAAGAAATGAGTAATTTAGTAAAACTGTGACATAAGGTAACTTATGTTTTGTGTTTTTCTTTTTTGGCACACGGATGCCGGACCATGACAACACTGTACTCGTGACCTAGGCTGCTTAGTTACTGCAAGGCAACTTTCGCACAAAACATCATAAAATATGTTTTGAATACAGTTTGCAAAACCACTCGAAAAGTGTTTCTTCTTCGCCTCTTTCCCACTAAAATACGTGTAAAAGAAAGTTGAAATAATTTAGGACTGCGATTCCATGCGGAATTCTGTCTTCCTTGGATTTTAACTTTGGTAGCTGGTGCAGCTAGTTATCCTGGGCAGGACTCGTCAAATTTAAATGCTATAATGCACGAAACAGGACACACACCCTTCCTTCCCTCTCTCCCCCCTGTACTCCCTCCCTACATTCCTCCATTAAATTCGTGAAGTCACTGGTCAACAATAGCACGTCATTCGTAGAAAACGATTGTTGTTCAGTCGTACGCACGAACGTCAATGATGGCCTTTTCGGCCCGCCATCAATTGATGTCAGTGTGTCCAACAGTCCTTCAAGTTAGTTCGTTGTTTTTCAAATCGTAAATTTCGTAGTTTCTCTTTTAACTCACCGGCGAGATTAACAATGCAGCTAGCATCATTATCAACGTCTTATGAATTTGCTCAAGGCATTTAATGACCCCCTCCCTCTATGAGACACGCTACTATTGATGTTAGTTGTGTTCATCGAAACAAATTTCCAGTCCAAGATGATGAATGACCCAAGAATACAACTACCATGATTCCCTGCAGAGACATCTCATAGAGGGGAAATTGGCCGTTGCCAATGAACACAAGCACCAAATGATAAATAAATTTCAAATCGACTTTTCTCGATTGAACAAGGTTAAGCAAAGTCAGCGAGTTTGGGAAAAAAAGAATGGGGAAATATTTAGTTTTAAACACGTTCAGTCTGTAACAGAGGCAGCTTTACGAGGCGTCCAAAGAGGAGATGAACCGCTGGTGGCATTGGGGACGACTTTTTGGCCGCACCCACTGATTCCAGTGATTGAGTTCACTGATCATTTGTCCATCCACCTGAGATAACAATCCAGATATAGAATAGATGTAATTTAGTTGGGGGCAAGATAGGTCCAAATGGCGCACAAACTGGCAAACGTTTCAAGACTACAAAGCGAAGCCGCTAGCCGCTAGCCGCAAGTCTTCCGACGCCCGCGCTACTCGCGGCTCGCCGCTCGCACGACCACTTGTTTTGCGTTCTTCCCCACGGATTTTCTGGCAAAAGGGAGACTGCTCGCTGTCTATCACCTTTGGGTCATATGGTCCGAGCATCTCGGGTATGTCACCGAAATAAATTGACCGTGAAGGCCTGGGAAAAAGGACCTCAAGTGTTATTCACCTCGACTTCGTGTCGAGGACTCTTGTGATTTGACTTTCTACGAAGACTGAAGAACTTGAACTTAGTTTGCGAATACGATGGCTTATTTTACAAAAACCAAAATTGTTCGTTCTTTGCTTTGCTCCCGGTCGAACCATTCTCTCAGGAGCGCTACACGGATCAAGGAATCCTCTATCGTTGAGCAGATTGTCGTCCAATGTAAACACTGACGCTGCAAAAGAGCCCATGAAGACAATATCAGATTTGCCAGGTCCCATCAGCCTTCCCATCATATGGACAGCTTGGACATTGTTCGTTGGAGCAAATGGCGAGCCTTTTAGAAAAAGCCGAGAATGATGACCTCGCAATTGGAAAACGTAAGAAAATGTGGCAAAATATATCGAACGCGGTTACCCGTTCTGACGGTGGTTTCGGTGGCAGATCCCGCAGCTGCCGCGAAAGTCATTCGAGTTGAGCCAAAATATATCCTCAACGAGTTCAGTTTCCCGTTCTGGAATATTATCGCGAGAAACGCCAAAAGAGTCCTGGCTTTTTTTTTGCCGATGGTCCCGAGTGCTACAAGTATCGAAGAGTGCTAAGTAAGCGAATGCTTCGACCTTAAGAGATAGCTCACTACTCTCCGGGCTTCAACGAAATTATAATGGATATCAGATTGCCAACCGTTCGAGAACCTAGCGGCTCAAAGAAAGAAAGCAAAGTTTGTAATCTCGACGGCGAGCTCTTTAGGTGGTCCTTTGAGTCTGTCGCAGAGATTTTGTTCGACAAAAGGTTTGGATATCTAGGGCCCGAAGTCAAAGAAGCGCAGACCTTTATGACAGCTGTGGGAGAATTTCTCTGCAATTTGATGGGGGTGGGTTTGTTGCCGACTTTGTTTTATAAGATCTACGAGACTCAGCAGTTGAAAACGTTTCTTTCTAGCATGGACACGATGTATGAATACGCTGAATTGCTTATTGAGAGAAGTCACGAGCTTGAAGAACAACAATGTATAACGTAGGAGCCAGTCACGCGACTCATCCGAGCTTACTGAGGATGACAAAATGGGTTTCTTTGAGTTCCTCCTGTCAAGTGGAAAGCTGAATAAAGAAGACTTACTTCCAACTGTGATTGATGTTCTATTTGGTGGAGTTGACACAACTTCCAACACGATGCAGTGGGTGTTGCACATGATTGCGAAAAATCCTGACAAGCAAGACATCCTGCGACAAGAGGTGCTTGTGCGACAAGAGGTTCTTGTCTTTTTCATGAGTCGAGACGGAGAAGTGTTCGAAAACGCTGAGGCGTTTAAACCAGAAAGATGGCTGAGCGAGAAAGACTTTGTTTTAACCGAAGCAGCGGAAGTCTTCTCTTCCATTCCGTTTGGATTTGGAACCCCAATGTGTCTTGGCCCTCGAATAGCTGAGTTGGAGCTTCATCTTTTACTGCCCAGGAACGTGCGACAATTTAAAATTTCTTATCCTCCTGATGCGGAGAATGTGGAGTACTTTTCGCGCGGTGTCACTGTTCCTGACAGAGCTGTGAGAGTGAAGTTTGTGAACAGCCAATAATTCCTCCGTCATGCTTCTAAGGGAGTTCGCGCAAACCACTACAATGACTGCAATGATAATGTCAACAAATTAAACAAAACGTTTAATGAACAGAGAACAGCTATGCAAGCGCGTGCGTTTTAAATTAATCTTGGTTTATTTCTTCGCCATCGTCTACAAAACTAATCTTAAATCCAGGTCTCCCACGGCCAAAAGGGGCTAGATCTGGGTACTAGAACAATGCGAAATGACCAAAGTTTACATCTTCTGGAGAACACAAACCATAAATTTCGTTTTTTGAACTCAACGTTGTCTTTACATACTTTGCCAGTTGATGATAGCTCTAACGCCGGGAGATACTCTAAATAAATTGAAACGTGAAACTTTCAAGTAGAATGCATAAACTAGTTTTTCAATCGACCTGGTCCTCGAAAACTTTCTTTTCAAAATTAAACTGGCATTAATAAGAAATAACACGCAAACTGCGGTGATAAACATGGCAATAAAACGCATGTTAAAAAAAAAAACAAAGTTCATTTACCTGACGTTTTGTATGTTTCAACATACATCTTCAGAAGTGACCGTTAGGAATAGAAGTAACACCTAAATTTTTGTCACCGCAGCTTGGGTGTTATTTCTTATTAAGCTACGATGGCCAAAGAAAAAGAGTATAAACTGGCATTGATTACACAGACTAGGACTATAAAAGGAACATTAATTCTCATAATAAGGACCTGAAGATGACTGAGAAGAAGAAGCTCATTTTTTAGGCGTAAGCCCGAGCGCTAAACATTGGTTTTGTGTTAATCGAATATTACCACTACGGGTCACTTATAATAATAATAATAATAATAATAATAATAATAATAATAATAATAAT